CTAGTTATTTTCAGAAAACAATATTGTAGATCAATAAAAAAAAAGTTCAAAAATATTAAGAAACTAATGGAATAAAAGAATCACCCGCAACTTAACAAACTGGAAAGCATTACCTTCTATAAAGAAAAGATCAAATTCCATTCCATCAAGAAGAATAAACTTATTTTGCATTCCAATGGAATGAACCATTTTATTATATACAATATATCTTATTTCAAATAGCAAATAAAAAAGCTCTTAAATGTTTATAAAAAAAACTATATACCATCAAATCTTCACATAACATAATTAAATAATCATTTTGACATAAATTAGGAAAAAGATTAGTTTGATTGAAACTTAAGAATAAATTTAAAAAGATTTTTCTTATTGAAGAAAAATAGATAATACAAATAAAACTAATTTATAAGTATAACATTATCAATCATTTCCTTCAATGTATTAAAAAACACCCCTCCCTAATGGAATGAAATTCAAACCAAACATGATGTTTTTTTCAATTCTGATGGAATCAGTCATTCCATTCCAAGGGTATTCAGAAACACACATATTATTATTACTACCTACCTCAACTAAAGTTGAATCCACTAGAAGGAACGTAAACATCACCACCTCCAAAATGGAAACCGCCACCAGCAGGAGGCTGAGTTGTAGTTACATTGCCAAGTGGCATGGCATCATCCTCTTCCTCCAACAAATAAGTCTAAAAAAGTTTCACTGCTTTCTCATAAATCTCATTGGTATCATTCTCTGTAAATTCTCAATCTTCACCAACCCTTCTGCATCATCAACCATCTGTGCATAAAAAATCACATCCGCTAATCTTCCTAAATTCTTTTCTGCTTCACCAACTTTTAATATATTCTCTAGCCCCTCTAAACAAACTGTCACCATTCTTGGGTCTGGACATATCAGTAAATCACACAAAGGCTTAATACATCCCTCACTTACCAAATACCTACATCCACCATTTTATTATCAGTAAATATATAGCTTTTGAGATGTAAATACTTAACAAATTAGAATGAAAATTTAATTTTATGAATCTTACTTTATTTGATCATGGCTTCCACCAGAAGTGGCATTTGAGATAGGACATCCATCCTCCTTTTTGATGACAAATTCTGCATTTTGAAGCAGATGAATAAGAGGGCCAATGATATTTGCTTCAATGACTATCTGTAAAAATCATAAAGTAGATATATCAGTTAAGAAAATAATGTTAGATGCTTAAATCATGATGAAAATTTCAAATTATGACCTGAATCTGCTGCTTGCTACTTACAAGTAGTGATGTTTGATATGGTCTAACAAGCTTCTTTCTTAATACCTTTTTTTGTGGTTATTGGTCAACAAGTTATGAAGATAAGGCAAAGCTATGACTTCAATTTTACCCATCTTCACTCTTGCTAAACCATTTGCATGTAATTAATTAAACTCATTAAGAACACAAACTAAGTGATTTTATTAAATAATAAAGAATTTAAAAGGTTTTTACATGAGCAATGACTCCAGTTTCAACAAATATGGGGTGATAAGTTAATCTTTTACGCCCATCTGTACGAAGGTCTTGAGCAATTCCTCCCTGTATAAAATGATTTTCTCCAACAATTCATATTTAAATACCATTTAGGAATATAAGGTGGTGTTTCCTTTTTGTCCACAGATCTTCCTGGCCTCTTCTGTCTGCGCGGCGCAGACCACACGTAGGCATTAGCCTTTGCAGACTGTTTGTCTTTTTGAAGACTGCAGACCTAAAAATGTCTGCGCGCCCTCTTCTTGGCCCAGATGTGGACCATAGTCTTCTAACATCTTCAGACATCTTCTAGCCTAAAAAAACACATATACTTTATTTTTTTTAGTTTTTTTGAATTTATATTTATTCCAACTTTATTAGTGATAAACAATTTGAAAAAAAATAAATTACATTACTTAAAAAAAAGTTTGACGATACAAACATGATATTTTTGATAAATTTATAAATTAAAGTTTATTACAATAATGGTTGTTAAAGTTGTTTATTTAAATATGAAATATATATATATATATATATATATATATATATATATATATATATATATATATATATATTCATATTTTTTTTTGCCAAATTTTATAAAATATTATTAAATAAAACATCGTTAATTTCTTAGAAAAAATAATTATTGCACGTTTTTAATTGAAAAAATCGAAGCTTTTTTTTCCATTCATTTATATATCAAATTGTTTGATTCCTAACTACAATGTTTAGGTATAACTTTGCGACCAAAATTTGTTGGTTTTTATCAAATATATACGTCAATTTGTTCCATTTCTATTTTCACTTTTTATACAATAATACATAAAAGTTGATTTAGATGTGTTAATTATTTATAACAAAGTCATAAATATAATAAAAAATCACTTTGTAGTTTAAAAAAATCAGTTTATTTAGATGTTAGTTTATTTTAATAGCCTGCAGATGTTAAAAAACAAATAGTCTTCTTTTTTAGACTGCAGATGTTTGGTCCAACTCTTCTGCTTCAGAGGTCTACAGATGTGCTTTGCAGACTGCATACAATTTGCCTTAGAAAAAACAAGCAGCACCTAACTAACTTTAGACACATAAGGCGTGGGAACAAATGTTTTTAAGAACAATTTGAAGAAAAGATAGTAACCTTTTAAGGAAATTGTTGATCAGTGAACAAATATGGAGCTTAACAGATTGCTTGAAGAGTACCCTGGTGCTGATTCTTCACTACAATATAAACAATAATAATATTATTAGATGTTTCTATTAATGTCAAAACCGATGCAAGACCAACTCTCAGGATAGGAACAACCTGGAAACAAAGAATGGATTATTAGCTAACTATAATTCACTATTAAAGACAACTTTTATCGTTATTGTAAACCCAAAATCAGTCTTTTTTTCCAAAGAGTAAACCCAAAATAAATCTTTATTCTAAACCAAATTATATACATATAACTTTCTATCAACATAGGTTTCATCCAAATCAAAATCAAAGCATAAGAACAATAAATATAAAAGTTATACATGATTGTTAAGAGAAAAAAGATAAGAACCTGGTGATTTGGAAGGTAGATTGAATTTGTACATACATGGTATTTAAGAACTTCATGGAAACACGAAAAACAAAATCAAAATGATAAAAACACAAAAAAAAAATACATTTGATAGATTATATGCAACCAATTATAGTTACCTGTAAGAATGAGTGTGCAGATTTTGGAGATGGGGGAACAGTGGCCCAGTCGACATTCAACATTGGTAGGTTTCCCTTTTTATGTGAAGTATTGATGGCAATGATGTGGTTTTACCCAAGAATTTGGTGGTTCTGAGCATGTTGGTTTTACAGTGAGTCAATTTTGCACATTCAGATAGAGAAAGGTAGCGAGTATGGATCGATTTCATAAGGGTTGAACCCAGACATCATTGTTATCTTCCTTCTCTGAATATGGAATCTAACAGCATCACATGTAACTGCTTCTACAATGCTTGACAACGACAATGTTAGGTTTCACAGTCTGAACAACTCATTCGATGTCAACAATGATTTTTCAGAAACGTGATTCGTACATAGCAACCAAATAGTCTCAGGCTCCAGAAACTCGGTTCGCGATGCTGGAGCAGGGCCAGACTGACACTTTCTGATTATAACTAAGCTTCCTTTATCGAATAAATCGATCAATTTTGGGTGCATCTCAATAATTATGGCTCTAGATCCGCTTAGGATTTCAGACTTGAAGTTGAACTCGATGTAGGGAGGGGGAGGAAGAGCGGCGATGATCTTGTTGTGGAAAATAACACACCTAGGGCAAATGAGGGGAAACAAAGAAGGAGTGGGTTTTCTAATTTTTTTATTTCCTTTTCCCACTACTAGCTAGTTGATAAAAAGGAGACGTGCGTTTGTAAAATTATAAAGTGACATCTATTGAGGGCACACACTTAAGAAAAGTGCCCTTCGTGTTTTTTTTCTTTTGTGAGACACTAAATTTAGGGCACGCAAAAATGCGTGTCCTAAATCCTTTAAATTTAGGGAGAGATGACATTATTTTTAAGACACAAACGTTTGCGTATCCTAAATATGTGCGTGTCATGGTTTGTGCATCATTAAAGGCTGTATTCTAGTAGTGGCCATATGGGATTATGATCGTCCAACTTTCTTTCAGTAGGTGCTACATTTAAGTTGCAAATGTTCCATGTCAACATCAAGTGTTCCATGTGTACAACAAGTGCTCCAAGTTAACTTCAAGTGCTCCAACATGTGATTCTTCAAAAACTTGCTGAATGTTCAGGATATTTCCAACCTGAAACATTATGATAATGTTTGTCAAAGAGATATAGAGATAGAATCAACTTATTTCAAGTGACAATCACATACACATATTTTCCAACAGTTTTCCCCTATGTGATGTTACTAAAATAAGGAGAAAAAAAAAAGTATAACACGCAAGATGAAATTTAACCAAAAGATGAATTACTAGTAGCAGAAGGAAAACATCATCCAAACACTTTAAAACGAAAACAAAAACACATAAGCTGAACTTTCTTTCTCATGTTTATTAAGCACTATCGAAAAATTAAAAACCAAGTAAGTTCTTGAATGATATCACTTTTAGCAAATCATCTTGATCTCCTGGTCTATTCAGAAAACCAATGATGCCTTGAATGAATTAAGAAGAGAATAGATGTTGTTGAGAGATTCTCATTAATCACAGTTGACCTTTGGAAGAGAATACAACTCCTATGTATGGTTTCTTTAGTATGTTCCCAGGTGACTCATTTTCCATATTTAGATCCAAGTCTGGTTGCTCATCTTCCTTTTCTCCTAGCTGTCCAATTCCCCAGTCAACACTGAAATCAATAACCATGTCGAGTACATATTGCCTTAGGTGTTGTAGGAAATCTACATAAGCTTTATTGGTTGAGAGATTGGTTCTGATTAAGGAAGATTTGGTTGAGCGATTGGTTCTGATTTGGTTATAGGTTTGGTGATCTAAATATCTTTCCTTCTTGGAACTTTTAGAGATGGATCCTTCATCTCTTGTTGTTGAAGGAGTTCCTTTTCTTTCGTTGCGATCTTTGCTCTATTCTGTTGAGCTTTTAATCGTGCATCATTAGCAATTTTGTCGAGTGACTCTAGTTTCTCTTTTCTCCTTTTCTCAAACTTATTTGGTGAGTCTGGAATTTGATGTATGATAGGAGACTAAATTGATCTGGACATGTTGACCTTTTCCCCCTTTGGTTTAGGTGACATGTCATTTGAACCAGATAACTTTTCCAAGATCAAGTCTAGCTTGGAATCAATTGAGGCAACTTTTTGCTAAAGTTCACGTATATCAGAAGAAGAAGAGCATGTCTTGATAGCCTTGACTTCATTGACTAGCAACTGAAAAATCTTCTGAAAAGAAGATATTTCACCAGAGTAGTTATTGTCTTTCCGAGATTAGATTTTGAGAGATTTGCAATGTCAGACCGTAATGAATCCAATTGACGTTGAACATGTTCACTAAATGATTGAAAGGGAAAGGTGGAGGATGATGCAGAGGCTTTAGAGAGTTCTACAACGGACTACTCAAGAGTGGAAATGTACCGGTCTTGAGCAGTGACATGATTCCGCAGATGATCTAATTTGGCTTCATATACAGAATTGAGATTCGATAAAGACTAAAGAAAATCATCGATATTTTGATACATCGAAGAAAGATGAGCTTCAATGGTCTTTTGAATCTTCGAATATAGAGTTTTAACTTGTCGCAAGTTATGAATGACTTGTCCCTTGATGTATGCAGTTGTGCTATTAATATCTTCAATGGTGACCTTAAGTTTTTGCACCTATGATTTTTTTGTCTCATTGAGGATACACACATTGTCTGCCATACGTTAAATATACCACTAAATTTTTTCAAGGTATTCAGAGTGAGAAGATGTGTGAAAGCAAATTTCCTCAATACCATCAGCTACCATCTGGGCAGTTAGTCTAAAACGTTCAACCTCAGGCTCAGATGTATTTGCTTTATTTGTATCTACTGGAGTACCATCGTCTTGAGGAGGATCAGGTGGAAAATAAGAGAACTTAGCTTCTTGAGTATCATCATGTTCTTGAGACAATTTTTGAGGTGAAGGAGAGTAATCATCGAGATCAATGCTAAATGTCATGGTAGATGGTTTGGAGTATAGGACAATTGACATGTTGTGTGGTTCATCATCAACTATCAATCCTTCATTGGAAGGTATGTCTACCGTTTGCATTGGAGTATCCTCATCTTGATTATCTTTTACTGTAGAGCTTTTAGGAAGATATTCAAGTTCGGATTGCTTTTCACCGTCTTGATCATTGTCCTCAAACGAGTCATAATCCAAGGAGACATGATTACTTGGACTTTATAGAATCGACTGAAAGCTTGCTGATGAAACTGGAGCAAATTTAGGAGGAGATGTGGGTTCATCTAAATCTACTCCAAGATTATCATTAGAGATGATTGGAGATGGGATAGAAGGTGGTTGATCTGAGTTTAATCTCTTTTTCTTCTTTGCCGACTTCTTAGATGCATGATCTGAGTGCTTCCTCTTCTTTTTTCGGAGACAAAGTAGTTCCTTGGATGTATTTTTGATATGATCTCATAGAGGCACTATTTTCATTCAAATTTTCAAGTATATTATTTGAAATGATGACTGGATGTGAGAACTCAGATTCAGATGCAATATGAATCCTATATGGTGACATACACAAGTACAGTGGTAGTGGGCCTTTGGAGTCTTCTCTAGTGTAAGATTTCTATTATTGATGACATCATGAATAATGATAGACCACCAGCGAGGATGATGAATCAAAAACTTATTCTTTAATTCAGGGAAAAAGGTAAGGAAGTCTTCCCAAAGAATATACGCGTAGTCAACATTGATATCATAGAAAAGCCCATACATGACAATCAAAAGATCTATTTTACTGCAAATGTGTCCATCAACTGATCCGTAAAGACACCGAGTAAAGAAGAAACTGAGAAAGTGCCATGGCGTAGGAAGGCAAGCTTTCCCATTTCTTGAAAGGTTTGGTTCAGTGTTTTCTTCAAATTTGTATCCCATTTCCTTGAACATTGGCAATAGTTGAGCAGAATAAGGTGTGAAAAATGTCTTAGGTTGATGAGAATCGGCGCTTAGACCTAAACGGATCGCGAACACTTATTTAATTAGAACCGAGTTAGTTTGAAAAAGATCAAATTCAACATCAAGCTGTTTTGACTGTGCTCTTAAAGTGATGGATACAGATGAAAGGACGTCTGAAATAAGAGATTGCGGAGTTAAAGAAGTAGAAAGGAGTGCATATGCCATTGGGCATTTATGTAAATATTCAACTATAACACCGAATTCTTAAGTTTGTTCCAGAGTTTTAAGTAGTGCAATATAGATGGATACGACCATTGCAATTTTAGGTGATGATGATTCTATCACAATGGAAGGTCCAATTGCTTGAGTTGGAAGCCTTATGAGAAGTCTTTTGTTTAGAACTCTGTCTATCTTCTTTGGAAGCCATGTCTTGAGAGAACAAAAGAAGAACAAAAATTGGAAATTATTGTTAGTTAAATAAATATAGCTAGAGAGTAGTAGAATATAATCTTAAGTAAATTACAAAAAAAGGAGGGAGGGGGGGTTTAAAATAAAAAAATGTATGACTTTGCATTAACTGAAAAAAGTTGTGACTAGAGTAGTATTGTGTATTCAACTATAGACAAGCAGAATTTGCAAATTCAAATTCACCAAGTTTAGGATTGAAAGTGAATGACATAACATGTAGGAATAAAAGAGAAAGGACTTGATGTCATATAAAACAATAAAAAAACAAAAAAAATTGATGTTACTAAATCATACAAAAAGAGCAAGGATCAAGTAAAACTGCTAAGTTATGGCCTATGATGACTATGGCATATCATATAAAGATGTCTTTAGAAACTAACAAAAAATTAGGTATCGTAGAGACAATAAGTGACAACTATATATATAAATCCAAGAACACATAGAAGAGTTGAAAAAAAATGTTGATCTTAAAAGAACATGTAAAGAGCATGAAAATTAAGATCACAACAGTATAAGAAAAGAGGTATTACCTTAGAAAAGAAGAGTGAAGGTAATAGACTTGTGAAAAAGATAAGCAAGATATGCACAAATAAGTAAAATGCTCACATGATAGATTTGATCAAAGGATCAACACTAAATAACCTAAACATTTCATGTGAAAGTGAATCAATGACCAATTATAAAAAAAGAAAAAAAATAATTGATGCTCACCCAATATGATTGCAACAAGAATAGGTGTTCACTAAGAAAAGTGATAGGCCAATACTAGGGGAACCTTACCCTTGGAACATATGTATAGACACGAATAATCATCTAAGGAGGGATAACCTTATCACATGAGGGTATGTGAACAAGCAAAAGAGATGTTACTGACTAGTTGATGTCTTGTTGAATCAATGAGAAAAAAAAGATAAAGCAACACTTTTGACAATGACACTAGAGACATTCAAATCTATGTTATGTCAAGAAAGGAAAAAAAAACTTTAAAAAGTGCACATCATGATAATCTTTAAGTGAAAGGAAAGAAATTTAATACTTACCTAGAGTGATCAAGAAATCTAGTACTCAACACATAATGATGATGGACCAAGTGATGACAATTACTGAACACATGATCATCCAATAGTCAATATTACTTAACTATGATGTAAAAAACAAAAGAAAAATATACATGCAACATATGACAATACTTATGAAGCTAACTTGTGACAACTAGAGTTTCACAAAAGATTAAGATGCTTACCTAGAATCTAGAGATGATGTGCTAAAGAAACAAGGTTAGATGATGATCCTCCAACAAGTAGTTGATAGTGCTCCAAAAGAAAAAATAGGGTTTGAACAAAACAAAAAAAAACTTTACTAGGGTATTAAAAAAATGTATATTAGGTTTTGAAAAAAATGATGATGCTCACCTAGGGTTTGTGAATGGCACAAGAAGTGATTATGAGATCAAGTGATGTTGCTCCAAGACTTTGATGGCTAAGATGATCACTAGGGTTTTGAAATGGGGGTATGGAGCAAGTAGAATTTGTGTATTCTTGCTTCTTTATTGATGATCACAATAGATATATGATGGTGCAAGATGGTGGTCACAAAATCACTTGTTGATCACAAAGGTTAATAATAGTGCAAGAGTGATTAGGGTATGGCACAACAAAGATTTTTGTTGACCTTGGATCAAGAGAGTGATCAATGAAGAAGTTGCGCCTCTAATGAATCTATGTGTGTTTCAAAAAAGCCTTAATAAAATATTTCATACGAAAATTTCTTCCCAAGTCTGGCTTGTATTCACATTAGTCACATGAGCTACCCAACTCTTCTCACATGAGTTAAGAGTTTACTGTTTTGTCCGAAAATAACAGAGGTACAAATGATTTCTTAAACCAATCTTTTTCATCCAAAATTTCTTACACGATCACACACGAAGACATATGTCCAAGAGGTCTTTGATCAAACCCATCGAGACTTAGACATATCAAAAATATGTGTTTATGATATGACATCATGAGACCGTGATGAAAGTGAAACCTAATTCTCTAAATTTTTAAGGAATTGACGGGGAACTTTGTTCTAGTTTTTAACGAAACTTTTGTTTTTATACCTAGATTCGAAACTCCAAATCATATTCATTTCGTATGAGTGATCTTGATCAGACTATCAAAAGCCACGATGTTGTTACCCAACAGGACCCAACACAATATTTTCATGAATATGATTTCTGTGAGAGTTTCATTTGATTTCTAAGTCACTTTCAAAATTAATCCAAAGCATACTTGTCACTAATTACACTGATCAAACAAGTGATTTCTATTATAATTACTCACCTTATGTTTTGGATGATATGTAATGAAATTGTGTATATGTAACACTAGTCAAAATAGGTCAATAGACAATCACATGTGATTATGCCAATCATGTAATGTGATTATGTTAACCTAGTAATGTGGTAAGAATTTTATGTAGCTCATGATAAATTCTAATGCAAATATGAAATTTCTTTATGATACAACTCAAAGTATACGTTCATACGATTTCAAAAATATAGAGAACGTATGAATCTGACTTCGCATGAAGAAGTTATGATAACCGAACACTATGGATCTCTATAATAAGAGATATTTAAAATAGACTTAGAATTAGCTATTTAAGTCTAAAAGAGAGTTGTATTACTCGTAAATACCTACGCGTGCATATAAAAAACGTCAAAAACAGAGTTCGTATGCAACAAGTTATGGCCTTCCGAAGATTTAGCTTTTAAAAACCCTAAACTAGCTAATTCACAACGTGAGTTTTAGGACACTCAAGACGTGAGGAGTCATTCTGTCATAATTCGGAATCTAGAGGTTGCGAGAGGATAGGATCCAAATTCACGACGTGAGATTTATAACACTCACGACATGAGGAGTCATGGCCACCTTCTGAAGCTAGGGACGCAAACGGCAAGTCTACAGAGTGAATACATACAACTATTATCAACTTATCAGTATGATAATTTACTAATGTAGATCTTGAGTTATACTTAGGATTCTATATATATGTTGTGTGCGATATAATACTGAAGTAATATTCGAAAGTTCTAAATGTTAAGTTATATAGTATGTTGCTATTAATAGTTTTATGTCAAGATAAAACTGGATATGTTATATGTTGTTATTGTTAGTTTTATGTCACGATAAAACTTGGTATTGTTATTGATAGTTTTATGTCAAGATAAAACTAGAAATGGTATATGTTGTTATTATTAGTTTTAGGTCAAGATAAAACCTGGTTTTTTACTTCAAGATATAGCTGTTATACTGCCTAAATATTATGAAGTTAGGAGAAATGTTTAAAAGCAAAGTCTAGTAACTTAAGGTTTTAGACATGAAGATGCTTTTGTTGTTAGAGTTATAGGAAGCCGTCAAAGTCTACATGAGTAATTGTATTCATCAACTAAGATTGGGGATCTTAGCGGAAATCCAATGAACTGTAACTGTTAATCCCATGTGAGTGAGGAAGTCATGTATAATTAGTATACGGGCTGACCACCCCACTTGTGACTGTTAGCTACAGTCAACCAAAAACAAGTGATAAACTATCCTTTTATTTGTTATTATTTCGGCATCGATGAAGCGTACGATGTTGTTTCTCATGTTAAATCATGAGTGTATTTGTTCTCATGGTAAATCATGAGTGTATTGTTCTATCAGAGGTATTATGTCATAGCAGCAGTTATAGGCTCATGGTAGCACATTGTTAGAACATTATACCTTGTCGTATACAAGTATTAATGGTAAGTATAAGTTTTCCCCTACTTATACCTTAATATTAAGAAATGTTTAGGTATAACACTTAATTGATAAGTATACCATTATACCTAATGTTGGAGAGTTAAAATTATACTTTCAAAACTATACTTTTGAATGTGTAAAAATGTATTATTTTATGGAGTCAAAACCTGTGAACTCACCAACTTTATGTTGACGTATTTTAAAATGCATGTGTTTTCAGGAACTTGAAAAGCTGGTATGTATTCGCACAGAAGAAGTTTTACTATTATCTTTCTGTTCATTAAGAAGTATGTCATAGTCGGATATTATGTAATAAATACTAGGAAAACAATAATGTAACTTTCAATCATCAATAAAGGTATGTAATTTCTTTAAGTATTCTTGAATGTATGTTATATAACTGCGATACGAAAAATGACGTTATACTACCCGGTGTTTCCGCCGATGGCCGGTGTGTGACAGATTGGTATCAGAGCTATTAACTATAGTGAACTAGTACTTTCTTGGGAAAGCACGTCTATAGTTTTGGGCTTACTCTATTAGGTTTAGATTTATCTCTTAGCCTATGATAAAAAGTATTATTAATTATTCTACTAAATTAACAAACAATAATTAAAGCATGAATACAATAAGAATATAGAGTCTTATATAAAGACTTAGACTCGTGAAGAAAATACACCTTAATACCCGAAATATTTTTGATCTCAAGGAATTAGATCAAATATTCCAACTAAAGTTTAT